TAATGACATAAATGAAAAGAAATCAATGAAAAATCAAGTCAGACACACTTGAAAGTCAATCTAACTTGTTAATCAAATTGAAACCAATAGAAATCACCAAGATCATAGAGACTTAGGGTGTGTTTGTTTTGCCGTTATGTTAACATAACTAAAAAGCAACATACTACTTACTTTATTCTTTTTTTACTTTGAAAGGTGAAAAAAGTCTGTTCAACCAGTATTGAACAATTTTTCAAACACACCCAATTTTTATGTTTGCAAAATCCTTGTTGAATCACGATATTTTCCTTAAATCTATGATGAGCCAAATTATTGAACCTCCATGAACACAATTGTCAACTCCTTCATCGAATCATGAATAGGGATGTTAAGACAAATTTATCTTTGTTCTTGTCTAGATTGAATATTTGATTGAGTTATCTATTTAAGTTTTAATTTGACTTCATCAAAGATTCAAAATAAGTGAAACTAGACTGAGTTAATATAATGTTTTAACACAATATATTAATATTAGCACTACATATATATAGATCGTAAAATAAAATGAATATAAACTTAAATTAAGATATTATATATATATATATATATATATATATATTAAAGTAATAAGAATACTATAAAATATTACCATATTATATAAAAATATTTTCTATTGAATAAAAAATTATTATGAATACACAACTATTCAAAATAAATATATTTTTAAAGGATCTTGTTAACCAATATCCTTGGGACACTAGTTAAAGAATTAATATAATTTTTTTATTAAAAATTGTAATAAGATTACATAAAAAAATGTGTAAATATATTTTTTAATAAAAACTTATTACTTTTATTCTTTAATCAGTGCTCTAATAGTACTTGCTAGCATTTTTTTTTTAAATGTGAGACATCAAATCAATTTGAGACAACACAGAACATAATACAAATCCGCTCTAAAAAATTTAAAGACGAATTTTAAAACTCAAATCTTCTTCAAATGGGCCCAATCAGTGTCATCTCCAGCTAGCTGAGATAAGATTTCTAGGGCCATAGATATGAATCATGCAAACGGAAAAAAAAAATAAAATAAAAGAAGTGATCTCTGTTTTCTTAGAATGAGGAGAGCAGTGTGTAAAAATTTGCATCTGACATCATTTTGGTTTGAAAATAAAAAGATGAGTGACTTTCAAATTAATGGAAGTCAATGATCACTCCTTTCGGTTATCTCCCACGACTTTATAAACATCCAATATTTCATATTCTTTTAAGTGTTAACCTCCATTCTCATTCTTACGTATATATATATACATAATGAATACCAAAAATATATTTATATTATATTTATTTTTGAATATAAAAATATTTTTTTTTATTATCTATAGTTTTTTTTATTAGATAGGGATTATAATTACACCGGTGTAACTTTTACTAAATATTACACCGTTTAATAACTTTATATTAATTGTTAATTTTGTAAATCCAATCGTTAGATTGAAAGTTCATATCACTTTATACATGTATATTAAATTTTGTTAAAATTGAATAACAACTTGAAGGTAATCAAAATATTCATATCTTAGTGTATTTTGAAATGAATATATTACGTCAATTTTGTTTTATAAAAATGTTCTGGCCAAAAGGTGGACTAGGGTTTCTTCCTAGGTTAAGCCTTAGAGCCAGAACATTCAAAAGTGTAATCTGCCGTCTTAACTCTAGGATTTTAGGTTTTATACTTTCTTGTTCACGGGCCTTATGGGCCCCGAGAATATAGGGATCTCTTTAGCCGTTCCAATCTAGAAAATATTTAGTGAGAAGGTGGGACCTCGCCATTGCTGAGTGTCCAATCGGATAATGACCGAGTAGGCCTTTATGGGTGAGTGAGATCGGTATCTGGTTGACGTGGCCCAAATCGGCCATATGCCGATTGACTCTAAGAGGCTGAGTCAGCCAATGTTACATTCGGGTGATCGCATGAAGGAAAATCAGGTCGTGAATCGGCCTAGGTAGTGCACGAGTTTATAGTCGGCCTCACACGCATAGTAGCCCTTATAATCCGAGATACCAATCGGTCTACGGCCGAGACGGTGATACCAATCGGCCTACGGCCGAGACGGTACACTTGCCTTCCAGCCTTGAGCCTATGAGGCGAAAAGGCTTAAGGTGTAGTCTTATAGTCCGTGATACCAATCTGCCTACGGCCGAGACGGTGATACCAATCGGCCTACGGCCGAGACAGTACAAAAAATGAAGTATCAATATAAAATTTTGTATATATGATCTAAGAGATATGAACTTTCAGTCTAACGGTTGGATTTACAAAATTCATATTTAATATAAAGTTATTGAGTAGTGTAATACTTAGTAAAAGTTACACCGGTATAATTATAACCCCTTTTATTATGTAATACTTATTTATATTTTACGAGATGGAGTCTTGAAAGCAACATAAATGAACATCCAAACGTTTATTTAAATGCAAGAAGCAAAATATATGAGGGTGAAGAATAGGCAATAAATGTTTTCGGTCAAGAAACAACATAATTACCTTTAATCCTTTAATCCTTTAATCCTTTAATTAATCCAAGGACTGAAGATAGTGGTTAGGTAAAATCCTCTTTAACAGTATTTAAGGATTCGAGTTCTTCCCCTTGGGAAGTAGTAATTTCTTCTGATAGGACTAATTATTGGTCTTTCATTCACATTTTACATGATATGAATCCTCAACAATTTCAGAATTTAATTAGTTCCGGCGAACGAAGATTTTTACGTTTTAAAAGTAAATCTAACTTACAAAAGTGTATTTTAAGCATTTTGGGTTTAGGCCCTAAAACCCTATAAACAAATTTTGATCTTTGTTAGTATAAAAGAATTAATTTTAAGATATGTTCGGATACAAACAAGTCCTACACCGATAAAATAAGACAAGAAATAACATATAATACAAACATACTTTAATGATAGAGAAGCTTTTTGGGTAATTACCAAAAACAAAATCGTGAGGGCTTAGGTCTAAAGCAGACAATATCTCATTATTGTGGAGTATGTTTGTATAATAACCTCATAAAAATAACACTCATAAAATATCTCCTCAGACAAATATCATAAAATAACTCCATCAAGATATTGTTTTCCAATTATAATTTGAGTTGAGACCCTAAAATTCTAGAAACAAATTTTTTCTTTGTCATTATGGTTGATTAATAAATTTTAGGTAGGACAAAATTTAGACATAATTTCTTAAGTGTTGATGATGTTGCTCTCCAATCATAATTAAAGTTTTATTTTGATAATATATATTTATATTTTATGTAAATTTCATTAATACCGTATATATTTACACTTGCTATATATTAAAGTAAAACTTAAATGATTTACTATTAATTGTGATAGTTGCAAAATTATATAAAAAAAATAACAGAAAATTGAGAATATCAATCTTTTTAAGATATTTTTTAAATATTAAAATTGTAGTGATAATAAAAGAATGGAGTATTATATAGAAATTAGGGAAGATGATGATACAACTTAACTACCTAATATTTTCTCCCATTTGGATGTACGAAAATCAACAAGTATGAGAGAAGGGTTGAAAAGTGAAAAGTGGTCGTAAAAGATGAATCATTTCTTATCATTGCGATCTTTGATTTGATTTCTTTTGTTGGCTTTTTCCCCCAACACAAGGGGTTGCCTCCTTTCTATTAATCAATGAAGGAATTCGTTAAAGCTTCATTCTATAGTTTTGTTTGCTACTTAAATAATTAATGGTCGTGGGCCAAACCAATTGCGGCAAAAAGCAAGCCTTGATTTATTCATTTGAAGTACCTTCCAATTTTTGCGTTGTTACGTGTGTTCTCTCATGTTAGATGTGAAATCAAACACTCCCGTTAAATAATTGATTTTTAGATAAGGTTTTTATTTTTATTTTTTATTTTATAGAATAGAAGTGTAATTAAGATTGTTATAAAATAATTATTGTATATCATAATATCAAACTAATGTTATTCTATTATATGAATGAAATCAATTCTTCTAAACAACTTTTTTCGCAAACTGAAGCATGAATTAGCTTTTAAAATTATTTAATAAATTTGTCATATGCTAAAATTTAAAATCATTATTTAATGAATCCTTGCTGGCAAGGTATCTATTAGATTGATTAGTCTTTGTCATTGTATGCATACACCTTGTGCTAAGGATCGGTACGATTTTAATAAAAAAATTGTTCGTATATATACTTTGTTACATGATCTTTTAATTTCACCAATAAAAAGAATTTTAGTGTGTTTGCATTAGTTAATCTGCGACCAATATTTCCTTTTTCGAAAATTTTCCTAGCAAACCTGTTTAATTCTAAAACTCAACTGAATAAATAAATTAAAATTTAATACATTATATAAGTTTGTTTAATTATTGATTATCACGTGAGATAATTTAGTAATTAACTTTTATAAGATGATTTAAAATTAATTAACGGAATAAATCTTGAAGACACCACCGTGTGAGAAACAAACTCAAATTATATAAATACTAGTAACGGAGAAAATGAAGTTTGTAGATAGAAAACGCAATTTTGCAAGTTCATGCATGTAAGGTACAAAGTGATATAGGGAGAGGGACAGAAAGCATGAAGGTGGTTTTGTATGAAAAAGCAAAAAAGACGTAACTTAATACTACCCAATAGGCTAATTAATTGTTATTATTATATATATAAAATTAAAGATTTGTGATTTGTGGATGTCAGAGTCAATATGATATTTTAGTGCACGCGAAATAAAGGACAGAACAGTCATATTTGAATGGAAGAAAAAGTTGGATCTGAAATAGCACAGAAAGTCAAATGAAGTCGCTTCCTTTGGATGAAGAAATCAAAGCCAACTGCAGCAGTGATGGAGCAATTTGCACGAAAGATTATATAATGCAATGAATTGGAAAGTAAGAGCACACCTAAATGACTTAAACTAACATTATTTTGGTAGAAAAAATGTAGCATGAGACAGTCCCACCAAACACTCCCACGTGCAATGTTCATCTTCTCTCCGATCTTCCATTCAACATTTTAACAACGCCTTTTATAATGGGGTGGTGTTAGTCTCAATATTTTATTGGAGTTAGTCAAGTTGCTTTGTGAGATTTAAAAAAGGGTATACGTAGGTGTCATGTGAGTGGGGATAAATTTAAAGTATAGTATAGGGTAAAAGAAGAATGTGCATGGCATGAAGGGTATTAAAAAAGGGGTAGGCTTAGTGCGTACGTTTCAACTTGAAGTATTTAGAGAGGAAAATCAAATATTGAATCAAGCTAGGTCTTGCATTTCTCATGAACTGTGGAGTCGTGTTGGGTTTCTATTGTTGGGGTTGGGAGTTCTTAACTGCCCTTCTTCTCTTCTCCTCCTCCTCTTATTCATCATTCTCTTCTTCTTCCTCCTCATCTTAATATATATATATATATATTATTTTCTTTTCTTTTATACAAATTTAATAATAAATAATAATATGGAAGGAGTTAGAAATGATCATGATAATAAGGGGTTGTTGGAATGTGCAAGGAAGTGCACTCCACCACCGTTTTTGATGAAGACTTACATGTTGGTGGAGGATCCGGCCACCGACGACGTCGTTTCGTGGAACCGCGAAGGGACGGCGTTTGTGGTGTGGCAGCCGGCGGAGTTTGCCCGTGATCTGCTGCCAACACTCTTCAAGCACAGCAACTTCTCTAGCTTTGTGCGTCAACTCAATACTTATGTACGTATCATACTATCATGCATCATATACTACATGCTTCCTTCTTTCATTGTTTTAACACTTTGATCTTCATATTAAATTCAACATTTAACTTCTATCATATACAAAGTATGAAAGTTAATTTAGAACCATTATAAGGGTCCGTCCAATAGTTCAGGTTAGATTAAATTGATTATTAGTGGAATCAATTTTTTTTTTTATAAAGCCAAACTTAGAAGATAAACATTAGTTTAAACATTTAATTAGTTAGCAATTTCTGTTGTTTTCTCAAAATTATTGATCCAGACTCTTCGTTTCTTTATTTTCACTAAATTTCTTTCTGTCTAATTAATGTATGTTAGCATTTTTTCTAATCTTCATAAGAAAAATGATTTTATCTTATCAATTTATAATATTTATTGTTTATTGACTTAAAAATTGTAAAGTAATTTAAAGATATTTTATTAGTTCAAAAAACAATTAATGCAGTGACAATTTGAAAGGAGTATTATAAAAAGTGAGAAGCAAAATTCTAAAAATAGTTTTATACACTGGAACGTAAGTAGTGTAGTAGTTTTCCAAAATTCTTGATGATGGAACAGGTTAGCGATTTTCGTTTGACCTAGCTTAGGCCTTAATTAGTTTATACATTATTCTTCTTTATTAGGAACCAAGAATTTAGAAAATATTTCATTTTTGTCCTTCGATACTGGAATATCCTCGTTACATGGTTTCCGGCAGAATAATTCTACTTTCATAATATATTATTATAATATCTTGGAAAAGATACACAATATAAAATAATTAGTAATATAGTAAGAGAAATAAATTATAAAAAATGGCATAAAAAAACATGTGAAAACAACATAATTGTTTCAAGTATGGCTGTACGTTTTTGTGCGAATGAAGTCTCTAGAAAAGACTGATTCAACAACATCAACATTATAAAAATGTAATTATTCATAGGGATATGAATGTGTTTTATGTTCCATGCATGCATACTGGTGGGAGCCAGTTGAGGGTAATGAAATTCGTACCTACTTATCAAAAGTCAAACACATACAAAAATCAATATTAGTGGCCGTGGAGCCGTGTATGACTTACTAACATATTTTCTATCACTTAAATTTCACAATAATCAACTTTTTTCTTTTCACAAAAATCAATAATCTTTTGGAGTTTGGACCTTCATATTTAATTTCTAAGTCAAATATTTATCTTCCCCGATATACATCAGCAAATACAAAACAACTATCTTCCAGAAGCATACTTAGACAATTGTAAATTACAATACTTTTATATGTTTTGTTCTATCATTAAAAAGAAAATATGATAAAATTATTAATTACAATTTATAAATTATTTTCACAAGTTATTTTGAAAAATTATTGAAATAAGTTAGAAACATTTTATTAATATATATAATAAGTTATTTTCATAAATCTCTTAAATAGTTATATAAAGTCATATCATTACAAGAAATGTTACATATAATGACATATAAAAAATGTTACTATAAGTACAATATATGTAGATATATATCTATTTGACATATAGTTATATATAATTTTAGTGTTAATTTTGAATGAGATTTAACAATATATTTTGTGTATCACTATAGTCTATATCCACTCCTTTTAATAATATACCAACATATATTATATTTATCATGTGAATAAAAATAGCTTTTAGTGACATATATTGTATCACTATAAAATATGTATCACTATATGATAATTTTCTTGTAGTGTATGATTGATTAATGATTTTATTCTTTAAGTATATGATCAGGATTCAATTTCTGAAATGGATTTTTTTTAAAAAGATCAACTCTTTAAATCGGTACTTCAAAAAATTAGTTCTTACCTTTCAACTAACATATATATGCCTTTATGTATTGTCTTAAAATAATAAACATTGCAAAACTAGGAATTGTTCATGCATTAATTTCGTTCCTACACCACATTTTTAACCAAACAAGTTGGAAAGTTAAGGTTTATCTACTTGTTAGGACATTTACATTCTTTTCACATCTCTATTTGGACTTTCGTCTATATTACATTCTTTTCCTTTCCAAATTGACACCAAAACTTACAAAGAATTTGATGTATATATCTATGTATAGGGCTTTCGTAAAGTTGCAACAAGTAGATGGGAGTTTTTCAATGACAAGTTCAAGAAAGGTGAAAGAGAACTGCTGCATGAGATTCGGCGAAGAAAAGCTTGGACCAACAAGCAACAACCTAATGCACCAAACCAAGATTCTGATGAAGATCAAAGGTCCTCATCAACCTCTTCATCTTCTGGTTACACCACTCTTGTGGATGAAAACAAACGACTTAAGAAGGAGAATGGGGTGTTGAGCTCTGAGCTCACAAGCATGAAAAGGAAGTGCAAGGAACTGCTTGATTTGGTTGCCAAATATTCATCACATGCAAAGGAGAAGGAAGAAGATGAAAGGCCAAAGCTGTTTGGGGTGAGACTTGATGTTCAAGGAGGGAGAGAGATGAAGAGGAATAGAACTGAGATGAGTGAAAGCGCAAGCATTATGCTGTCTCAGTCATGCAAATAGACATGCATGCAGCATATAAATAGAAGCTTATATATAGCTACTAAAAATGTAATAATCAAATATCTGGAAAATCATATATTTGATTAATTAGATAGGCTTGCAAAGAGTATTTTCCCCCAGTGTTGTAGCTAGCTATAGTTACTTTGAAGATCATATTTGGTGCAACAAGGAACTAATAATAAAGACACCTCAAGCACAGTGCTGTAATTATGTAATGTGATTTAGGATCATGCAATCGATACACAATTGAAATAGCCTCAAGCTAGTGTTGCCTTTAATGAGTTCATATTGTTAAGTAGTGTGACAAAGTAAAGTCGGAGCAAATAGTTGTTTAATTTACAAGCATTTCCATGAAAGAAAATATTTGTAAAATATATGTTAATATGAGTGAGGGTGAAAATATGTAAGGTTAAGTAAGACTTTATAACATGTTTCTCTTATTCTTAATTTCAAATTTCTAAAATAGACTAGATATAAAATGATATTATTTATTTATAGAATATTTTAGTTATTTTAAAAATTTATTTTCTCTTTTAAGATTAAAATATTAAATCAATAAATAATTTTTTTGGGGACATATTTAAATGCATATCTAGAGTTCATATCAAAGTTCGAATCACATCAATTGACGAAAAAGATACCCTGTTACTTCTATTAAATTTAGAGTGTTGATTTACGTTTTTTTTATTTAATTCCAAATATATATTTAATTAAGATGAAAAAAATCATTTGACTTGTATCTTAAATAAAAGAAGAAGTCATACAAATGAAAATTTTAATAAGTTTTACTAGAAAACTTAAAAAAGAAGATTTCTAAAGTTTTACTAGAAAACTTTTTGAGAGGTAATACAATTTGATAAAATGAATGAGAGATTAAGAAATGTTAAATAAGTTTGTGGGATTTTTCTATTTAAATAAGCATGAAAGAAGTTTTTTTTTTTCCCCAACAACTACAAAACTACAACCGGTAATTGATTCCTTCACTTTTTTCCTTGTTCTTGATACACGTCTTAACATTTGCTTGGTGCATGTTCTTTTCACGTGTTGGGCTCTACGGGTTAATGTTTTGGTTTGTCATGTTAACGTTACATGCATTTGGGACAGAAATATAGGTAGAAATCATTTATTGTTCTTAATTTCTGTGGAGCCGTTTGTAAATAGTTACTATGACAATGATAATTCTTTGCCATACATGACAACCTCAGCTGTCGCCGTACAAACTGACAGCGACAACACAAACATTGCACTTAACAAGCTCTTCTGCATAATAATTTCTTTTCTGTTGAAAAATATTTTTCCGTAAAAAACGAAGAAAAAAAAAACCGATATTAAGAGTCATCATTCCTAAAAACATGTAAAAAATGGAAGTCAAAATTAAAATTTTCATGTTGCTCCTATCTTTGTTGATAAAAGCTGTGATCTTTCCATGATGGGCATCGAATTATATCTAAATGCTTTATGTTTACAGGGAGTCATTGAAAAGGACTATGACACTTTTCTAAGAAAAATAAAGAAGACAACGGAGACATGCTTTTTTGTCGATGTTTCACAAATTTTTATGAAAACAACATAAGCTACGTAAGATTACAACAAAAATAATTAATAGAAATAAAATTATAAATTTAATTACAAATTATAGCATGTAATATATATATATATATATATATCAAGAGTTTACATAATTTCGGTTAAGGTCCATAAAATCGAATCATAAACTTATAAGATTTTATTTAATATTAAAAATATGTTATGTACAAACTTTGTCAATAATGTAAACTCCATCACACACACACAATAGGATTTCATGACTAAATGACCTAACTCCTCGTATTGATATCTAAATAAAAAAACCGCAATTAATTTTTGGACATTTTTATTAATCTCTTATATCTTTTTAATCTAACACTTTTTTATTTTAAAATTAAATTTTAATAATTTTTTTTAAAATATCAATAGTTAAAAATAAATTTGTATCATAATATAAAGTATTTATCATAAATATAAAATATAATTTATATAATCATTACAAATTTTTATTATAATATAATTTTTATATTTACAAATACTTATTTATTATAAATTTGTTATATAAAATAAAAATTTATTCTAAACATTGTACAAGTTAAAATATCAGTTAACATTTAATTAAAAAAAAGTTTTAGATTAAAAGAGATAAAAAGGTTAAGAAAAATCCTTAAAATATTACATTTAAGAAAAACTCCTATTTTTTTCTTCTCAATATAATACCCTTAAAAATTTACTCAATATAAACAATTCTTTAACAAGTTTTAGAAAGTAGCTAGAAATGAGAAAAGAGGAGACAGCACAAAATATGAACAACAAAAAAGCTAAAATCAATTTAAGTGTTCTATTATTTTATTTTAAAAGCTGAAAATGTATATTTTATAAGAAAGCAATTAAATAAATATCTTTTTCTTGTCTATTTTTAACTCACGAATGAGTTTAACTCATTGTTAGTGTAAAATTTTACACTGTCAACTGAATAATGATAAGAACAAAAATAAAAACTCAATAAATTTACTATACAAGACCATTCTTGATCGTATAATAGTGTAAAAGTACATTTTACATTATAACTACGTAAACTAATTTATTCTCAATAGAGAACGCGAGCCCGAGTGGATTATTAACCAATTTCATCATTGATGATCAGGGCACTGTGAGACGGGTAAATCCGTCAATGAACCAGCTAAAATTGAATTGTGTTCTTAATAATTTTGAAACTAAACAACTCAACATAGCTTGTGACTCGACTAAACTAATTCTTTGAATTTGATTATTAATTAAATGAGTTACACTTAATTTAAAAATTGAGTTTGTTAAATAAAGGAATTGAACTTAAATTACATATAGTTCAACTCAATTTATTTTTTTTATTTAATCATATATTAATTAATATGTAACTAAATTCGTACGAGTAATTTTTTTAATTGAATTTGTACCAATTTTATTTGTGCGAAGTAAGCATTCAAATAAAAATATGAAAAATAGTTATATTTTTAAATATTGAATCAAGTTAAAGAATTGAACAAATTGTTCACAAACTTAAATAAAGTCAAATTTGAGTTGAAAAAAAATATTAAACTATTTTAAAAATTGAAATGAACTAAATTGAACTATTTTTGTAAGTAAAAATTTCTTCACATTGAAAAAAAAAAAGTATGTGAAAATGTTGTTTGACTCTACCGAAAACCATCTCAGCAAGGGAAAATGACTACCGAACTCCTTATTATCAACCGGTTGGGGATGGAACGGATTACGGAACAAGATAAATTGAAGATAGTCCTAACAGGTACTATCCTCAAGAAATCGAATGCTTCTAGAGCAGTTAGATTGATTTAAGGGTCTTAGTACTACAAATCTATTTACAATTCGGCACTATAATAATTGACTGTACAATATACATGGCCTTATAATGTCATCATTTTGATACAATTAACACATTATAACCAACAAGCAGCATTTTATGAAAGGAATTGTAAAATAAGGACACATCATGGATTAGCTGCAAAATGATTGAATATCGTCTCAAGAGTTGATTGGCTGATGCTGTACTCCGCAATCCCTAATCTATTTCTGCAAATGATATTTTGATAGAATTTAGTCATTCTTTAACAAGAGCATGGAAAATAAACTGCAAGTCCTGATATTTACCTGTTTTTTTCAAGAAGTCCAAAAACATCTGCCAGAGAAAAATCCTCATTATATGGTAACTGCAGTAAACAAAGATGAATTACTATATTTGCTGTAAAATCGAGAGCCTGGATACACCGCATGCACATACATATGTAAATGTTCTGTCCTGTCAAAACAAAGCTAAGATAAACTGAGGCCTTCAATTGACAAGATATGTTAACATTATTCCAGATATCAAAACCATCAATGATCAACTCTCCTAAAAGGTTAAGGTGTCAGGCAGAGAATCATGAATGGTTTTACATCTCTAACATACTCCCTCTTCATGGAAAACGAACTATTATTGGCTTTAGCAGATGAAGTGTGAAAATCAAACTAGTTATATGTCCAGATAATTCAATCCCATCTCACTCATTTTTGAATGTTTCTAAGTCAAGGTTGAAAACCAGCTTTTATAAAAGGTTTAAGGTTTACTCCGCTCAGGATACATGGTAGTCACGTTGGTAAAAGGTATAGATTTATTTTTCTCGTCCATTTCTAATTTAAACTTTTCCCGTCGGTTCAAATCTTTAATATAGGTATCATGTAAATAAAGGATCCACTTTGTTCAGTGGCATTCCAATTCCCATTCCAGCAGATTTAAAGTAATTTTGAACAATATAATTGGGAAAAAACTGAATTTATTTCCTCTAAAAAAATAAAACCAAACAGTACATAAGGAGGGAAAAAACACAGATATTGTGAGGGTCAGATTTGAGAAAAAAATTTAAAGAAAACGTGAGAACGGAGGAGAGACTCTTAAAATTGGCTTAACTAAAAGCTTTTTTTTTTTTTTTAATGTTTTCATTATTAAAAATTTAAAATAAAAGCTTCTTTTGTTTTTTCTAGAGCTTTTATGGATTATGTTTAGCCCAACATTTCCTTTCAAGGAGAAGAGAAGCTCTAAAAATGTTGGATCAGAAACAATCTGGTTGTGATTCCTTTTACATTCCTTACATTGGATGGTCAACTGACTCTTGTATATATTGAGGACCTGGGCTTCTAACGTACATACAAAGATAGTTGATGCCTTTTGTACAATTACCAAAGAAATGGGGAGAAGATCCAAGAAAAGTGGGATTTTTATATCTGTATGGTGTTTGCTTCCCTGAATATTTGACTAGTTAGAAAGTGAAACTAATCTAATTCAAATTTAAATGGTTAAATTACACAGGCATTCAAATCAGATGAGAGGATTTTTCATCATAATGAAGAATTTTCCCATAAAAAAATGTTGTAACTCAAAAATACCTGATATCTGATGCTTAAACCATTGCACCCTTGACATCTTGCTCCACGAAAGGAAGATAGAAAAAATGAATCAATTTCAGAGAACTTTTGTTTAGACAGCCACCACTCAGAAAATACTGGCAAAGGAATACCACCTGATTATCAACACAGTAGAAAAGGGGAAATTAATACTAGAAGAGAATTAATGCATTTTTAAGACTTAGAAATAAAAAGGATCACCATGTTATTGTCATGGATCAATTCTCCTTAAAGCTATTATTAGGCTCGTGATGGGTTTTATACCTTACATGTATGAAATGTATGTCTGCTTCTTCTTTCTATAGTTCAGAATTTAAGTATGAAGGATTTACAAAGAATTTTGCACAGTTTGAAGTATGAACTATAAGCAAGATATGTAGTCTGTCAAAACACTGACAGAAGTTTGAAAACCATCATGTGATTCACACTGACTTTTTAATTCAATACACACAAGGCATATGTGGAATTTGTATAGCCTAAGCTGCAACTAAGGGTTTTACTCGTGAAAGCTGGAGGTATAAATGTCTTGAGCTATATCTAATTTATCTACATGACGGTTTACCAAGACATTATAACAGAATAGAAAATTTACCAGATAGTATTTGGAGATTCATGGAAAAAATTTAGATACAATTTAAAGAAAATTTATTTGAGTATTTTACTGGTATTTTAAAAATTAAGTGCATAGAAAAGAATTAGTCAACGATAGTCATAGACAAACATGTTAAAAAGAGGTGCCACTGCAAAGGAAAAATACAAAATGCAGCAATTTATTAACCAGAAGTAAATACACAATAGAGTTATTGAATAGCGTAAGTCTACGTAGACTTCTAGAATAAATGGATTTCTCCTCATATATATATTTAAACATCTAAATATATGAATTTTTAGGACAAATTTCTATGTAATATATGAAAAATCAGAGACCCAGTAACATGTTGCAATTTCACACTGATGATCAGAAACAGACTGAAGGAAAATCATATTATGCTCAAAGATGAGAATTAAATTGAAAAACTAATAAAATAAAAACAGAACCACCATTGTTCAAAGTAATGATGCATACATTCTCTTCACTTTTTCAATTATCTGTTTTTCCAGATAAGAGAAACAAAGATGTGCAATATCCAAGGATAAGATATTCTCTTCAAAGATACCACATAAAACCAAGGCTCTGCTTATATGAGTCAGGCTATTTCTTGGTTGACTACGAGGAGACCTTCGATATATCCTCAGAGGTGTAGGCTTCATCAAGTATTTTAGCAAGGCTATTCCTTTCAAGTCTCAAGAGACCTGCCCCCGACATCCTTTTTACTTTTGTCTATACTTCATGACAAGCAAAAAAAACTAGTTTTTGCTAGCAAATATATTTGTTATTTTCCTTCTTTTGGAATAACACATTCTTTGTATGTCAAAATACAAAAGAGACTTAAAAAAAAGAGAATTAAATAGAATTCCCAACATTTATCAAATTTCAAAAACTTTCTCTGCTTCTGTTATTACACTGGCCTACCTTTGCAAAATAATGGGAGATTTATGTAACTTTGGAAACAAGAGGGTATCAGTATTTGGTGGAAGTTTAAGACAATGGATACTTTTCCTTTCATAACAAGAATGTAGATCATTATACTATTGTTAAACCTGAGGAGAGATCTACATGATTTACCCTAAAATTGACAGAATCAAGGCATAATACATTTGAAAACTTAACACATGCATGTACCAACACTAAAACAAGCTTGAACAGTTGTACATGCTAAACAAACATATTAAACACAACAAGAATTCATAAAATGAGAATAAGATGCATGTTCTTTTTCTGGTATACAAACAGTGAGAAAAAAGGATCATTAACTTGCTGAAATTTTCAATGATAAGCAAAGTCTTCAATGCAGTATTCAAACTTACCATCTCGAAACAGTTGTTCTGATAACTGTTCCTGAGAACCTCCATCACAGACAGGTGTACAAGAGATTAGTGTTTTCACTCTTTCTTCATTGTCAAGCCAGCGCCCAATTAAGCCTATCATTTCTCGTGTCAAGCTAATCTCTGCAATGGAGGTATTTCCTGATGTGACAGAGTCAGTGCCCCCAATGCAAATTTCAAGGTCATTAAGTAAGCTTCTAGGATGAGAAGGGACATCAAGCAGTCTTTCTTGAATAGCTTGGCAGAGAGTTTGCAAGTCCACAGAACTCACTTCAGTGGGCTTTACCTGGAAAAAGGGAAACTGAGAATTACATATTTGAATTTTGAAGATGCTTTTGTCAAGGAAAAATGAGGAAGCACAAAGAAAATGTGCCTTTTGTACTGTAATCATAAATACCTCTAGTTCCAGATGATTCCCAAATCTAGTTTTTAGGTGCTGTGGACTTCCAATGCATCGTAATCGTCCACCAACCTTCAGAAAAAAACAAATAATACAAAATAACGGGTATATGTTTGTGGGAACAAGGCAGGGCTTCAAGTATATGAATAGAAATAAAAATAATTTTGTACCATTATCCCTATTCTGGTAGATAAGGCTTGAGCTTCATTCATGCTGTGGGTAGTAAGAATTACTGCAGTCTTTCCTCGTCTTGTGGATATCCTAGATATTACATCCCACATGAACCTTTTGGCAATGGGATCCATACCTAGAAATATAAAAAATTAGTGCTGACATAGATAATACTTTTTCAATTCATCAAGCATAGCCATATGTCTGACATAGCTATTCTATATGTATAGCTTAAAAAACTTTCTCCTGAACTGATAGAAGTCCAGTTACTTTGTGTCGAAAATCACGAGACCTAAGCTATGACCCATGAATGGAGAACACGCCCCTTCAGTTCAAAGCTCACTGGGCTTGATACAAGATTAACAAATAAATATGCAGACACTATTTTTAAACAAAATTCTGATCATAGAATTGAAGGTAATAAGTATTGAACTCTACCACTTGATGACCTGGGGTTTTATAGCATCACAAGGAACCAATTGAGCCAAAAGTTTAGGCTCTTATATCAAGGAATCAACATTGTTTTTTATGCAATTCTAAAAATTAAAATAGAATGGCATTTTTATGAAGTTTAAAGCAATATATAATTGATAATAACTGTTATTGAACCTGTGGATGGTTCATCAAGAATGACAATAGGAGGATCTCCAATCATTGCAATTGCAACAGAGAGTTTTCTTTTATTCCCTCCACTAAGTGAAAATGATGGTTTATTAGCATGCTTCAATAAGTCAAACTCTGCCAACTTTTCCATAACAACCTGTCCAAATAATCATAGGCAACAAAAGATAATATATTTTATAAAACAAATAATAATGATTGTAAAAATGAATTTAGAAGTTTCTTCTCATTTTTAAATGATGAAAATGCAAGCCTATCATATGTGGATTTTCCCTTGCATCTCAAAGCAGATAGCCTGCCCATCATTATTAAGCTCTAAAATGTGGCATGCAAACTGTCGATGGGAATCTAGCAAATAAAACATTTAAAGCATATTTTATTATGTTTGAATCTTTTCCACATGTAGGATAAATTTGAACAGAAGTGAGTAGGCTTTGGAGAAAATAGGGAAGTCACTTATGCTACCACCCTTTAGATCAATGTGACCACCCCCTTTCATATACTGTTTAATGCACTATTTTCAGAGTTGAAAAATGGTTAGTGTGATGAGAGTTCATATTTATCTCATCTCAAGTAAATTACTTCATTAAGATTTTTTATATATCTTTTACATCTTGCATCATTAGAGGATTCATGTACTATTACCAATCAAGTTAAAAAGAAATATAAGTATTCTTATATAAAGATGGAGACAGGTAAAATTTGACCCAAGCTGCATGGGTTTCTTTCATTGCATCTGTTGGGTTTGATTAACTGTTTTTCCAAGGAGTTTAATGGTATATAATTTTATGAATAGTTGAAAAAGATGATTTTAATAATATTTTGTCTCACCCAATTACATTCTCATTTTTATTAATATTTTGTCTCACCAATTACATTCTCATTTTTTCCTATTATAGTGATACACTTGTACCTAAATAAAGTAACTATGAAAATAAAGAAATAAGGAAAGATTACAAAATAAAATCTAATCCCCTAAAGTTCTCCTTTTTTACAACATGAACCATGATGGCCAATCAGTATCCCAAGTCTAAATATTTTTCTCTTGATGTAGTGGAGTTTGGTTTGTTCCTTGTCTCATGTACATTGGTTATGGCTAAAACATATTTTTGACCTTATGGTGAACAAGTATCTTTAAGAACAAAATTATTTGAAATGACTGACTGGCAGCTGGTATTATAGTATTTAGTGCTTCTGTTATATTTATTAATAGAAATCTTCGGAGATTGAGAAAATGACATGTATCCATGACCCTTTTCATTTAGATTGTTCTTTAAATAAAATTTCTTGACATATAAGGAGGTCTAATGCCTATGTCTATATATTTAGTTGCTTGACTTTTTTTTTATTAACTATTTATCTCATGAACAAGATGGAAAAGTAATGCTTTTCTAATTTTTAAGGATGGTGGTATGAATTATAGAATGATTATGCACAAATGAGAATTATCACCATGAATTATCCTTAACCATAAAAAGCACTAAGATAATTAGGAATTGCTTACACATACATTTTCTAGTGCAAAATCTGGAACACCTTTTATTCTAGCATAGAGCTCAAGATGCTCTTGGACAGTTAAGTATTCCAACAGAGCATCAAATTGTGGACAATATCCAATCTGAGATTAAAATTAAGATAAACAAGGGTCAAATGGATTCAAGTAAGTATTCATTCTGTGATTGTATGCTTAAGAAGTAATAAACACATACGTATCGACGAGCAGCCTTGGGATGGGAACATATATCTTTGCCAAAAATAAAGGCAGTCCCATCAGACGGAGATTCTTCCCCTGTTTGGAAGAGGAAAACACAACTTTTAGTAATAAACCCAAAAAAGAGAAATGCCAAGTTTATAGCTATTCAACAATGAGCAATTTTTATAATTGCAGAACTTTTTCAATCAGTATAATTGTTTGAAATCTATAAAAATTTTGTCTAACCATAATTTACATCCGGTTTGTTTGAGATAGAAGATTGAACTTATGCTGGAAATAAATCACAAAAACATATATTCATCTGAGAAAATCTGAGAAAAGAAGGAAATATTAAGTAATACTTTTGTAAAATAAGTTATTTTTCAACAATGTAAATTTTAAGTTTAAACCATTTTTGCCTGCTTGGTGGATTCTCAAATTCTTTAATGGCGCTTCTTACAGGCCCGTTACTTTTGGGAGCCTGTCATTGGAGATCTATCTTAGAGGTTAGATAGTCAGAATATCTAGTATCTCATTGTATTATCTCTCTTTTTATGTTCCGATGATTTCTGGTCAGAGAATTGAGAAGATTATGAGGGATTTTCTTTGGACTGAAGCTAATGGGTTTAATAGAGACCATCTCGTTAATTCAGAGATTTATAGACCTAATAAAGGAGGTTTGGTTGGTGGAAAACTGATTTTCAAAAACATTGCTTTGACTACTACATTACTTAGGCTTTCTCCTTTATAGACCGCTTTATGGTATCAAGTCATCCAAAGTAAATATGGTTTTTGTTAGAATACCATGAGTTCCTGTATCTCATGGCAAAATGCATTTAATATTCATAGGAATTACTACCCTGTCTCTATTTATAAGACCCTTTCAACTAAATTACACCTTTTAAGAAAATTAGTAAATTTAGTTAAAACTTAAAAGCACTAAATTTGACAATAATTTAAACTACTTTTCCAAAATTACCCTTAACATCTCTTAAATTAAAATTATCTCTTTCCATTTAATTATTTCTCACCTAATTAATTCATGTTTGGAAGGAGAATAATGTCAAACTATATGAGAGAGATATCTAAGTGTCTATTTATCTTCTCCAAACCTAATAAGAGGGAGTTTTTATCCAATTAATTTCAAACATTTATTATTTTTTGTCTAAAAGAATTGTTAGTTATAGGAAACAATTAGAAGAAGGCCTTACAAAAAGGGACAAGCAAAAACGTGAAAAGGGCCCTATATATAAAAATGGAGGTAGTAGTATTTAGGAAGTTGCACTATTTACTTTTACTTTTTGCCTAGGAAATAGTACTCACTTAGTCTAATAAGAATCTATATATTGATGTTCCTATGCATTTAACAAGTATTTCATTCAGAATTTCTCTCCAAATTTCTTCTCAATTTAGGCAACTCAATCTTAAATCTACTCCTCTAAATACATGTTATTAGATTCACCGGTACCATCCATCATGACCTGTCCCATCACAATTTTATTGCAATATTCCTAAGAATAAAAAATCATTTTCTGTCAGGTGTCTGTTAGTATCAGGTATCTGTTAGAACATAGAATTTGTAAGTAACTGATAGGTTCATAATTTGGTTAGATTGATAATTAAGGAAAGCAATCTGGATCACAGGATTTGATAGATGGGAAATTGGGAATCGATCAGAATTGTGCAATTTGATTTGTAATAGGATTTGATGTAATTAGAATCTGTTGCATTTTCCTACTCTGTTTTTTAGACATAGCATTTATAGCTAACAATATTTCCCGATATTTGTAATATCCTATTTTTTTAAAAATAAATAAAATAAGTTGTTTTAATAATATTTATATTATAAGCATAATTAATTTATTAGTTGAGCTTATAATATATGTGATGGTTGTTTTTATTAAATAAAATAAAAGACGGACATGGGTTAGGTTAGTGGGTTAGCCTCTAGGTTTGACTTTAGAAGCCCAACCTAGAGTCTAGCTTGAGAGAGGAGGACCAATATAGGTCATATGTCAGTTTTAGGTTTTCTGAAGCTATGAGAGAACCTACAAAGGAGAACCTCGAGGAGAGTTGCTTCAGGTGACAGAGATCAAATATTAGAAATTTAATTTCTTGGTAATCATGCAAATAGGACCAATTCTATCTTTAAACTATAAGTTATAACAATCGATCAGATATGTGAAATAAAACAATTCATTTCTTTGTTCTTATATGGTATAGAGCTTCAAGCTCTAAACCTTGCCCTCTCCAAATAGTGAATTAGCACGAAGCCCTCCACATGCAAGGAGGAACGCATGGAAACCAAGGAGACTGTCTTGTCAAAGAATGACAGAGTAGAGTCTGAATCTTCTGGAACTGGTAACCTATCCTAAGCCTTGAACCTCCAACTCAGCGCACAAACTAAATGGTAAAAATTGCCTCGAGGGGGCACAGTCTATGAAGCTGACAATGGAAGGGAGAAGCAAGCTGGGATATTTAACTAGAGAAATTAAGCAACCAAAAACAGATGACCCCACACGGAAGAAGTGGAAAGCTGAGGACTCTCTCATCATGTCAAAGATGATTAACTCCATGGAACCTACTATTGGAAAGCCTTATCTTTACTTATCAACTGCCTAAGAAGTTTGGGAAGCTGTGAAAGATTGCTATTCTTATTTGGAAAATTGCTTTCACATATATGATCTGAAAACCTGGCTGTGGCAGCCAAGATGTCACCACCTACTCTGCTGCTAACCTTATGACAAGAGTTAGATCAATGTTATGAAGAAGATTGGGAGAACCCTAAAGATGCTGCATGGCTCAAAAAAAGGGAGCAGAATGACCAAGTGTATATATTCCTTGTTGGCTTGGACCGAAGCTTGGATGAAGTAAGGGGAAGGATCCATGCTCAAAGACCTCTTCCTTCCATTCGAGAAGTGTTTTCTAAAGTTAGATGCAAGGAGGCCAGATGAAAGTTGATGCTATATTTTCATTTTCTAGATTCCCTCCAAAATCAACAGCTTTTGCTTGAAGGAAATGATGCCCTTCTTTGTTTAATGCTTTGCATGCTAGCCCCTAGAAGTTATAGCTCAAATATATGCTTCCTTTAGATCCTGTACTTCCTTTGGTGTGGATGATGGCTCCCATATTAAATTTTTGAAAGGAACTTTGGGTGGGCAATGTACCCATATTTGGTTTATTTCCTATACTTTTCCATGCTTTGTACAATGTTTCAAAAATTTCAGTTTTATTCTTCATCTCATTCAACCATTTCCGAAAACTTTCTCTGTCATATTGATATCTCAGCTGTCCAGTCAGCTTAAACTGCAATCTCATTTAATATATATATATATATATATATCACTGTCATGCCTTTTAAGTAACTAACAAAAATGTGAATTCAGGGTTTCATACTTTATGTCCATCTATGCACCATATTAGTTTAGATTAAGGAGTTTAATAGAGATCATACTTTTCACATTTATTCATTGAAAATGTTTCAAAAAAATTAAGTGTTTGATTTGTCCAAAAGAGAAGCACTCTTCATTCAGGTTTTCAGAGGTTTTGATTAAATACCAAGATTTCTAGCAAAAGACAGGCTTATCACAAGACATGCAGTATGATATCATGATCAGAAATCTGATATACCACATAGCATAGAAAGTGTTGTGGTCTTTCCAGCTCCATTTGTTCCTAAAAATCCGAAACATTCTCCTTCCTGAACTGAGAAAGTTAATGAATCTACTGCAACCTTTTTCGCATGATGCTTCTCCTCAAAATATACCTGAAGTTTAGGAGAAAAAACACTAAAATGGGCACAAAGGCAATGGTTTCCAATGCAAAACATTTTTCTTTATGAAAAAGCAAATTGAAGTAAATAATCCTAGGAAATACCTTACGAAGATTGTGCAGGTAGATAATGGAATTGTCAAGGGAACCGGAAAGTACTCTATCTCTTTCTGTTTTCACATCTACATCTTCATTGAAGTTCATTGCAACAGTTTCAGATGAAGGTTCTAACAGAGGTTCCAAATAAGGAGTATCACGCCGGAAAATATTAACATCTCTCCACCACTTCTTGATCATGAATGAAGTCAATTTGAGAGAAGGGAAAATTTCAAGTGCAAGTGTCAACAGAAAGTAACTAAAGCTCTGTCATATATAAGATAAAATTGGATTAGATTGAGCAAAATATCTCTATCCCAATTTATAAGTGTGTTCTTTATAGACTATCTCTTATATATGGGCTTTGTTAACATAATTGAGAAACAAAACATTTATTACACTTTTCTGTTTCCAATGAAATAAATGCTTTATTTCCTAATAGAAACTTTCTAGTTTAACTTTCTTAAAATCAGCCGTAAGGACTTGCACCTCAACAGCAAGATAACAGATGGAACCACCGGTAACATTCCAATCAAAAACCCCATCACTTGTTTTATCTTTCATTCCTTGCCGCAGAAGAGCTAATGAAGCAAGACCATCAGCAAAACAAAATCCAGGAGATATTCTGAAAAAATTCTGTAAGAGAACATCAAATGCATATCATTATGCAGTGTTGCCACAATGAATGAACAAATAACAAAATAAGCAGCTAAAAGACTAGTTGTATTAGTATATCATTGCCAACAGTGTTCCTTTACTCTATACCAACATACAGTCGACAACAATACTTATCCCAAAGAAACCAGTTATGCTTATCCTAGTAGCCTACTTCTTTTCTATAATAACAGTGACAGCCATGATGGTGCCCACTAACTAAATAACATAAAAAATCCAGATCTTTAACCGATTACGTGTGGTAAAAAGAAACTAGTCTATTTTGTAGTATCCACTAATAATGGAAGCCCTAAACACTAACACAGAAAGTAGTGACAGTAATAAACACTTTAGGAAACAACAAAATCGGGATTTGAGAGCCAAAAAGCTTAAAATACTGTGATACTTTTTTCCCCCTGAAAATTAGTGCCCTAATTTTCTCCTGTTTTTGGTGTTTCAGGAAAAAGAATTTGCCCAACGGCAAGAAACTCATGTTGCTAACACCTGAAGAAAAATAAAAGGTGTACCTTAAGTAAAGAATTTGCACTCATTGTTGATGGCATGAGTCCCATAATAAATGAGATAACCATTAGAATCAATCCGGTGAAAAAGTGAATCAGGAGAACCACGTTCTGTGAGACAAGTGAATATCTTAGCATTTATAATAGTGATAACTAACAAATGAGAAATCATGGTGTCCCCAATCCCCATACCTGAGCCATGGTATGGTCAAAAAAGAAAAATGTTAGGCAATAAGTTGATGATGCAATTGCGAGTCCATATTCCAAAAGCATGAGGATTGTTGGTAACAAAGAAACCCCTCCAACAAACTGATCCAGACCTACAATAAGATTCAATATGCAAGAATTAGCAGTGAAATATATGATACTGTAAAACAGAAACCCCAACAAGGGGGGTAAAGCTAGGGAGTGTGGTGAATCAGGAATCATATTATGATCACTATGCACTGTCACACCATTCAACCACCTGAGAAAAAGCTCTGGCGGGGAAGGTTCAAATATTTATTTATCTATCTATCTATTTGTGAAGTTTAGGGGCATGGCAGGTTGAAAGGTTATAATATTTAAATGGCCAATTATGTCAAAATTTTGACATATCAGAGGCCAGCTGTCCTAGAAATCAAATGTATCTATCATGTCATGCAAAGGCTCTCTAGTGTGAAGTATATGCAAATAAAAAACACACCATTATATTGTCCTGAAATTCAATTGATATTTAATAGATAGACTGATGAAGGAGAGAAGGATCAAGATTTGGAGCAGTTAATCAAGGAGGTTCTAATATTATATCAAGAAACAGCTGACCTAAAAGATCAAGCAAATAAATGAGAGCTAATTAATATCATTTAAATATCTCACAAACAAGGAATAGATCCTCTCATGTGAGTTTTTCACTTCTGTTCCTATCTCTCTCTCTCTTTTTACTTGGCCTGGTACCATGAAAAACTCAAGAGAGGATCCACTCCCATCACAAATCCAACAATGTATGTTGAACTTAATACAAAAAGGCCTGCATATTTTGTTGATAATGGAAGGATTAAGATCAAATTCACTGCTGAAATTGACAGAAAATTAAGTTTTAATGTTAAGGAATGAGGTAAAATACAACTTCAGGAATGATAAGAACATAGTTAATCCCAAATGGTGGGCACACAAAGACAGATCCCAAAAGCACTATGGTAGGATAACTGCTATTTTGAAGTTAACATACACATTACATCTGTTATACTACACACACAACGCAATGTTGAAAATAAATTAAAAAATAAAAATAAAGACATTCATAATGGATGAATGAAGCCATCATTGTTGATCAATGGACAATACCCAATTAGAATAAAAAAAAAATTAAATGATAGAGCACAGAGAAGGGCACATAAGTGCTGGTGAGGAATGATGCGATAGAATGGAAATGGAATTTTCATTCATGAGCATAATAGCAGCAGTGATGGCCAAAATTTTATGTGAAAGCGGTCACAATTGACACCACTACACAACCAGTCCACATCAGGACACAGAAGTGGAAGTGGGTGCAGCGCAACACTGCTACACCATTGCTATCTGCTATGGATAAGAAATCCTACAGGGTAGAAAAAACTACAAAGAAAATATTTCACATAATGGCCAACGAAAAGATAAGCATGATAATATTAATTGGAACATTTACTATATTTAATATAACATTGTAAAGCAAACCCTAAAACAATGCAATAAAAACATAACAGTCTTAGTTTTTGATAAAAAGGGCAACTCAATGCATAAGGCTCCCACCTAATGGGATGATAGGATGGCTCTTACAAGGTCCAAAAGAAGGAAAGTAAAAACTGGATTAATAGGATTATATTAGAATATTATATAGTTTATAGTTTTAATTCCCTAAATACTAAAAAACACTTGCAGGGGTCATCTTTGTAGTGTAACTATTGGATTATAAATAATGTATTCTCCGAGTCTTTAGGCAGATGAACGAAAGTATCTTAGTTTTTATCTTATCTTCTTGTAACTCTTTAATGGTAGATTTTAGTGTAGTAGTTATAGCCTCTTAGCTTCCTATCATGGTTCTAGAGAGGGTAGATTCCAATCATGACCTCTAGGTTACATGAAGCAACCTTACGATTGCACCAAGGTTTGCCCTCCCCAATAAAAGAAGAAATTTTATTGAAAAGAGAGATAGTACAAGTCCGAATAATAAGATTTCCTACTGAAAAAGAAACAAAATAATACAGATCAAATAATAAAAATTTCTCAAACTCTGCATATATGAAGGAGAAATCTTCATAATTAAAGCATTATAAGAGCACCATGAATAAACTATTAGACTTGGGTTCATGATCAACATTCATTTTCCTAGCATATTAAATATGCAAATAGAAACTAATCACCATTAGTAATGAATTGGAAACATACCAAAGATGTAAAAGAGAACTATGGCAAAAGAGGCAGGAAACAAGAAGCTCACAAAGTCCCAAATAAATGTAGAAGCCCAATATGATAGGACGGAAACCTGATTAGCAAGTTCAATATAAGATGAATATTCAAAAGAAGATAGAAAAACATATATTGAAAGCGATCTATTTTGAAAAAATTATATACCCCACTGATTAGTTGCTGCTGCTTAGCTTTCACTTCACGTTCCTGTACCAATCAAGAACTTACAAATGTTTAGCCTAAGAAACAAGCAACCTAAGAATGTCATTAATATTAATCTTGGACACTTGTAGAAAGAAGTTTCCTCTAGTGAATTCATGACAAGCAAGATGAAAAACATGGTTTTCATTTGGAAAAGGAAACAAATTGAAGACGAAATTCCTCTTTATCTAAAGATTGCAATGACAGAAACCTCAGGGAATCTACAAGTAAAGTGTTCTCTTTTATATATTGTTTCAGGAGGAAAAAAAAATACTAAAGTAAAAAGATGACAAGCTGGAAGCAGTGTAACACAACATACCTTAACAATTGAAACGGCAAATGAGGCAGGTATAAAAGAGAAAGCAATATTGACAATAATTGCAGCAGAGAAGGCATCCAAGTCCTACAGAGATTCATCTACAGCTTATCAAATCTATAATATTCTGAAGAGGATAGAGGGGATTATAAAACAAAGAATGTAAAGGCCATCGCCATATTAATGCAACATCATTTAATATTGTTGATAAGCATACAAATCAGTGATTATAGGCATCAAAGGCCATTATGTGCTTTATATGTGAAACTGAAAAATAAGAACTGTAGAAGTAGAAAATAACGAGAACAATAAATGTATTGCAATATAATAAGGCAATGTATCCTGAAGTGACTCCATGTCCAAGGTGGAGAATGGATAAAATTTGGATGTTAAATTAAAGTAGACTAGTTTTTGAAAGTAAAGGAGAATATGAACAAAGTTCATATTGCTCCTTTATATTTTATAAGTATTAGTAGTCTAAATATTTAGAAATATTTATACATATAATTTTATACATTTATATTTTTACATTTTTTTCAGGATTTTTTAGCATTCTTTATTTATTATGTCCCAATAATATATATATATATATATATATATATATATTAATGTCTCTCTCTTTTTTCTTTTTTTAGGCTATCTTACAGCAAAAAAAAATTTAAAAGGCTAAAAATTGAGGTAGAAATCATTCTTGTATAGTATAACAGCGGATGTAGCCAAGTGGATTAAGGCAGTGGATTGTGAATCCATCATGCCCTGGTCCTTGGTTAGGAGGCACAAGTGTCAAACCACTTAAGCTAATGACCATACATTACCCCGGTCATTGGATCATACATCATGATGATTGAAGAATATCCACTTCTGTGAAATAAAACAAACATTAGCTTACATGACGTTGTAAGTGCTGGCTTTGTGTTGTTGGTAGAGGATGGTTGCGTGTCTGAATTGTCATATTCATGTCCATGGTTGCAAGCCTAAGAATTGCAGAATTCATCAAATTGATAAAGGTGGGAGCAGCATGTTGACAAGAACAGTTGTGCAATACAGTGTATCCTAAGCTTCCATCATTATTCTGATCATCCATCACAATTGCCCCATACCTGAATATCCAAACACAGGAATGAAACAAATTACTATCATCATCAAAAAATTGTAATCGGTTGTTTTATTTTAACTGAGTTGATAAGTAATAATATAATTAAAGTAGAAAATGTATTAGTCCTTCATTATTTTCTTGGAAAATAGCTGTATAAATTCCAACTGCACAAAAGTTTAAATATGACAACAGAAAAATAGTTAAAAACACTTGCAACTATACATTACATGAGGAGTCTAGCTTAATAAAGAAAGTTCTCAGACACGAGAACTCAAATTATATGCATATGCATATGCAGCCTATCTTAATATATATCTTATAAAATTGCTATAGTATAAGTGATTGTGGGAAATAAAAAAAAATTATTTTGGCCTGCACGGCTGCACCTAACAAAAATTATGGATATAGCTGGTTCTTTGAAGAAAATAAAAATATACTAGGGCCTGCAGTCCTGCACCTAAGATCTTATGGTCTGGCTAGTTGGTTGCTTGTCAAAGCACCACATGGCTTGAAATGTGGACAACGCATAGACTAGCATCAAGCTTTTGCCAAAACAATAAACAACCTCACAAATTTAATTTTTAGATTGTGGGCAGCAAGAAAACATTACACAACATTGACTATTAAAGTTTACAGAAATCAACCATGATCTCCATACAGGAGTAAATGTGAGTCACATCTATAATCATGTCACTGAATGAAAATAGTCATAGATTCAAGGAAGAAAAAAGAAAACCCTGGCTCAATTGAGGTTTGGCCAAAATAACTTCAGCATAAATGCAAAATTTAGCATACACAAGACCTAAGCTTTTCTCAAACTTTTCAGATAGTCCTCCTTGAGGTTGTTGGCAATAGAACCAGAAAGAATTTATGCTTTTTATAAAGACTAGGGGAAACAGAAAGAAGCAGGGCAGTAGAACCAGGTATCCTCTTAAAATAAAGAAAACACTAACAAAGCTGAACACTAACATGTGAACTTTATCATTTTAGAACCTTAATTTTACTTGTCCTGTTTTCTTGTAAGCCATTCTTATTTTCAAAATGATTTTGATCTTCCTCTATAATTAAATCAGAGAGAAACAGAGATAAAGGACAGATATTATAATCTCGTTCTCATGGATGCCTCAATACTAAAATGGATTTCTATGATAACAACAAATATATCCATGGCTTGCACTAAAAAAACTTTTAAAATAATTGCTAATTCTTAAAAGAGATAAAAACTAAAAATGAAGCAGGAGATTCATGATTACACACCTAGATTGGTAGGATTCATTAAAGCTAGACATTAAATATTCACTCATTGAAAGTAGAGCAGGCCCCAGAGCTGGCCCTGCTGCTTCCACTGCATCAGCCAATGCCTTTTCTGAATTAGGGAATCTGTATGAGCTTGGCTTGAATCTCTGAATCCACCCTCCTTTGACATTTTGTGCTACCTTCAACATAAATTTTTTTACCAAAACTCAATCAGGATGCACCAGACTCCCATCTTTTAGCAGCATCAAGTCTATGACTACAGAGAAAAAAGAAAACATAAGAAATGGAATCAACAATTAGTGACAAACCTTTTCAGCAATTGGCAAAGATAGATTAAATGGAATTGGACCTCCTCCACCCCCACCACTCAATAGAGGATTAAAATGAGAAGTTGAAAGGGTCAGTGATTGCTGATCAGGATGTGGCTTGAGCTTGAGAAATAGAAGACCAATAAACAAGAAGAGAGTAGGAATCATTAGCTGGAAAATAATTGTTTTGTGGTCTCTTCGAGCAGATATTGCCCTTTTAATGAATAAGGCTTTAAAATGTTGCCAAAATGTTGACCTAGTGATGAGACAACAGCTACAGCACTGCATACCCAAGAAGTTGATAAAACTAATAACTGTAGCAAAAATTAAGCCACAAGCTCTTCCCAACATGGTAGACATGAAACCAAGAATCTTCTTATAATTTCCAAAAATTTTAAGGCAACTTGTTTTTGTGGATGGATGATCATTAGTAGGAAGAGAAGCCACGGAGTCTGATATAAGGGAATGGTTATTTTCTTCAAAGCATTCAACTTCATCATAGTCACATCCTGCAACTCTCAAAAATACCTCCTCCAGGGTAGTTACAGATATACCATAGCTTTCAATACCAAGACTGTCTTTGTCACCATTGCCACTCAATTCCATGTTTGAAATTGGTTTTTTCATGTAACCTTCAATTTCCCTAAACATCCCCTCAAAAGCTGATGAGGATGCCATAGGAAGTCTGAAAGAAATCTCAGTTCCAACCTGGAAATGCATATCCAGTAAGAGGATAAAATGGAATCAACAATCATATCTCATGTATAACTGGCAGTGAGATAGACAACTCAATCCTTCAAAAAAATAAAGGGAAAAGAGGAAAACCAGGGCTTAATATACTGCTAAATATGAACTTGCCAATACATGCTAAACAATCAGTTATCATGCTGACAAAAACTAACTTATTCAAGTCAGAAGTTATGATTTCTTTCAAGAACTTTTTCAGCATTTTGAATAAGCAGGCAAGTGAGCACTATTCAACTTTTATTTGCCTATTAAATTAAATTAAGAAGAAATGTTTCTTTGAATCCCTTATTGCGTTATGCCACATCAATGCTCACCTGTCCTTTTTTCTAACAGACTAACACACGAATAAAGAACACTATGGGTCCATTTGTTTATAGAAGAAGTGATTTTAAGATTGTTTTTAAAGTAGCTATTTTATAGATTTTGTGTAAACCTGTAGGACCCATTTGGTGGTCAAGACTTGGGATACGATAGAATAGGATATGATGTGAGTATGATAAAATGATAGTAGGATATGATAAAATTTAATCTTATTCAATGTTTAATGCACATTGTGATAACAAACTAGATTACATTATTATATTATATGTTTTGTATTTAATATAGATCAATAATATACAATATAAATTATGTACAAATAACAATTTTTTTGTTTTACTAAAATTGCATAGAATTTTTAAAAAAATAAGCTTTAATTTAATTGTTTAAAATTTACAAATAAAAAATAAAAAGCTATAATTTTTACTATTTTATACAAAATTATTACCATTTAAGTATTTACACTAAACCAACAAGATAAGGGATAGAATAACTATCATGTCTTGTAAGCATAACAAACAACAAACTACAACAGGATAGGATAATTAACTTATTCTATCCAATCATATTTTGGTCATCGAACGGCCGTAAAGTAGAAGCTCTTTCACATTCGATTATAATTTATACTTGAAACAGTGTTTGTGACAGCTTGAGAAGAAGCTTTCAGCCTTACAAATATATATTCAAGAAATACAGCAACATGAATCCATGAATCTCAGAAATTGAGATCTGATACAGCAATCTCCTATCATAACTAAGAAAACTACAGAAAAAGGAAAGAATAAATGAATACTTATTAACAATTCTGCAATTGTACTGATTTGTTGCATAATTGTTCACATAACTAAGGTTTACCTCAGTCTTGATACATGTGGAGTGTGGCTCTAACTCGGTAACACCTACACAGCTGTTTCTACAATTCCATTCATTCACTAAGACATGGCATATAATTTTCAGTGTTTAATGACTCTTGTATATTGTAAAAAATTGAAGCAGTGTTTCTTTGTCATGTTCTGATGTTTAAGCAAGAACTACTGAACAAGAATAACAATATTTTTAAAGCAGTGCACCATGTATACAATTAGGTGGTGTTGGTTAGAACAAAAATATTGAAATAATTGTTTAACCTCCATGTGGTACTCAGAAAATTTGCTTTTGGAGTCTCTCCGGTAGACAAGTAAAAAGACATTCAAAACCAAAGAGCTAACCTATGTTATTTCCTTTCAGTATAACCAACCTTCACACTAGAAAATAGGCAGAAAGAACTTGCATGAATTTCAATTTTCAGATACTCGTGCACATTAACATTGACAAATGAATACATGTTGTATGATCTTGAAAATAACAAGCATCTTGACGAGTTATACCATGAGAAAAGTACCTCGCTTATACATGTTGCTGATGGAACATGACGGTATACTATATCACCAGCTATAGAAGCAGTAGGGGCTGACTGAAAGAACCAGCATAAAAAAATAAAATAAAAATAAAGCTAAAGCCTTACAATTGTGAATCATCAGAGACTAGAGGAATTAAAGACAAAGCAATTAGGAAGAGAACAAACCTTCACAAGAGTTAGAGTATAACCAACTCCATAATGATGCTTCAAGAAAAGGGAGCTGCATAAGAGTAATACAAATAAGGGGAGAAAAAAAAATTAAAAAAAAATGTATATATATATATACACACACACACATATCTATATATATAACACATTTATACCAAGATTATAAGGAAAAGGTACCATGCTTCTAGAAACAAGTTATCAGAGGGTTCAATGACAAAAAACTGGAACTTCTTTTAAAGTTTTAAGGATTTTGTAATATTCAAGCTTACCCTTAATATAAATCGCACCAAGGTTCAAATTCGACCTTGGCTTAATATAAATCACACCAAGGTTCAAATTCGACCTTGGCTTAATATAAATCGCACTAAGGTTCGAATTCGACCTTGGCTTAATATAAATTGTACCAAGGTTCGAATTCGACCTTAGCTTAATATAAATCGCACCAAGGTTTGAATTCGACCTTGGCTTAATATAAATCGCACCAAGGTTTGAATTCGACCTTGGCCAAGTTCGGGCTAAACAATGTGAAGTCAAGAGTATATGAAGAAAAGAAGTTGTTTTTATTGATGTGATGGGTGTGCCTCATTAAAAAACCCCTCGGCCAAAACCCATTTTGATTCTATTTTTTCGAAAAAAATACCGAGGAGGGAAAAAAGTACAACACCCTATTGTACAATTTAGCTAAAATAGTACTTGAGGTGGGTGGCGTTCCATGTTCTTGGAATGTGTTTGCCAATCCGTTTTTTCATTTGTTGTGCTACTTGCGCTTTATTGCGTTTTATTGTGTTATAAACTGAAAAAAAAATCTGAATGAAACCCCCCCCCCC